TATTAAAACCGTTGCCTATTGGTCACAGAGCATCCACGTGAGGCACCTCAGAGGAAGCACGTGGCCCCTGGCTGCTCATTTCCTCAAGCATAGGGGTTGATGTAGGCAGGGCCTTTCGGCCCATAGGCATCTCCAAGAATGCTTTGGTGAAACATGTCTGGGCTTGTCCCATCACATGGTAAGTTCCAGCAGTAGGAGTGGGCATGACTCTTTGCCCGGTACATTCAGTTTGACAACTAGCAGGATCCAGACACTTCTAGCCAAAAAGAACACTAAACAGCCAAACCAAACTGACCATGCAAAAAACTTGCTCCATTTAATTTTACTCAGATCTGACTTATGTTATATATCCATTTCCCATAATAATATACACAAATCTTTGAAAGACCAAGATATCCCTAGGTTTTACTGGTTTGTATCTTCAGCAATATATATTCCAACCCCTCCAAGACAAGGGACGCCAAGGATTGAAGTAACAACAGACTGCTGCCTTAATTTCCAAAACATGGAAACTTTTTAAAAAGTTCTATAAAGACATTTAGCATATGTGGCCTAAGAAATGCCAGAAGAACAAGATGGGACACTTGGGCATAGGGCTTCAGTCAGAGGGATACATCAGACAGGGAGGAGTTTAATACCTAAACTCACACAGGGGTATTTATCCCTAAAAACGCCGCCTATTGGGTCCCACGATCACATGGTCACCTTATGAGCCTAAACCAGCATCTATTGGTCACAGTGCACCACGTGTTGTCATCTTAGAACTACCACACGGGCCCCTGGCTGCTCATTTCCTCATGCCATTCGTTGGGATTAGGTCTATCCATGCTATGTTCCAACCAACGGTTAGGGTTAGGGTGGGGGTGGGGTGGGCAGCGGGGTGGGGTTTCAGGCCGCGGGAGGGCCTCTCGGGCATCCATTTCCTGTTTAGGAGGGGCGGGACTTCCGGGCATTGAGTGGGAGGGGCGTGGGAGGGGCCTTCCCCCAAAGTGGGCGTGTCACCTGTCAAATTTGAGTTTGACGAGAGGTGCCACCTTTTACTACTAAGGTCCTCCATTGTGCATCATGTGGCAGGGCTCAGGTTGCATTGCAGCAGGTGGTCAGTGGTTTGCTCCTCTCCACACTCGCATGTCGAGGATTCCACTTTGTGGCCCCATTTCTGAAGGTTGGCTCTGCATCTCGTGGTGCCAGAGCGCAGTCTGTTCAGCGCCTTCCAAGTCGCCCAGTCTTCTGTGTGCCCAGGGGGGAGTCTCTCATGTTGGTATCAGCCATTGATTGAGGTTCTGGGTTTGAGCCTGCCACTTTTGGACTCTCGCTTGCTGAGGTGTTCCAGTGAGTGTCTCTGTAGATCTTAGAAAATTATTTCTAGATTTAAGTCGTTGACGTGCTGGCTGATACCCAAACTGAGAGTTCTTGGAGAACAGGAGAAGTTCCAGCAGATTGGAGGAGGGCCAATGTGGTCCCAATCTTCAAGAAGGGAAAAAAGGATGACCCAAACAACTACCGTCCGGTCAGCCTCACGTCAATACCAGGCAAGATTCTGGAAAAGATTGTTAAGGAAGTGGTCTTCCAACACTTAGAAACAAATGCGGTCATTGCTAATAGTCAACATGGATTTATCAAAAACAAGTCATGCCAGACTAATCTGATCTCTTTTTTTTATACAATTACAAGCTGGGTAGATGCGGGGAATGCCGTGGATGTAGCGTACCTGGATTTCAGTAAGGCCTTCGACAAGGTCCCCCATGACCTTCTGGCAAGAACTAGTCCAATGTGGGCTAGGCAAAACTACGGTGAGGTGGATCTGTAATTGGTTAAATGGAAGAACCCAGAGGGTGCTCACCAATGCTTCCTCTTCATCCTGGAAAGAAGTGACAAGTGGAGTGCCATCAGCAGGGTTCCGTCCTGGGCCCGGTCCTGTTCAACATCTTTATTAATGACTTAGATGAAGGGTTAGAAGGCAGGATCATCAAGTTTGCAGACGACACCAAATTGGGAGGGATAGCCAATACTCCAGAGGACAGAGCAGGATTCAAAACGATCTTGACAGATTAGAGAGATGGGCCAAAACTAACAAAATGAAGTTCAACGGGGACAAATGCAAGATACTCCACTTTGGAGGAAAAAGCGAAATGCAAAGATACAGAATGGGGGACGCCTGGCTCGAGAGCAGTACGTGTGAAAAAGATCTTGGAGTCCTCGTGGACAAAGTTAAACATGAGCCAACAATGTGATGTGGCGGCAAAAAAAACCAATGGGATTTTGGCCTGCATCAATAGGAGCATAGTGTCTAGATCCAGGGAAGTCATGCTCCCTATGCTCTATTCCACTTTGGTTAGACCACATTACCTGGAATATTGTGTCCAATTCTGGGCACCACAATTGAAGAGAGATATTGACAAGCTGGAATGTGTCCAGAGGAGGGCGACTAAAATGATCAAGGGTCTGGAGAACAAGCCCTATGAGCGGCTTAAGGAGCTGGGCATGTTTAGCCTGAAGAAGAGAAGGCTGAGAGGAGATATGATAGCCATGTATAAATATGTGAGAGGAAGCCACAGGGAGGAGGGAGCAAGCTTGTTTTCTGCTTCCCTGGAGACTAGGACGCAAGGGAACAATGGCCTCAAACTACAAGAGAGGAGATTCCATCTGAACATGAGGAAGAACTTCCTGACTGTGAGAGCCGTTCAGCAGTGGAACTCTCTGCCCCGGAGTGTGGTGGAGGCTCCTTCTTTGGAAGCTTTTAAGCAGAGGCTGGATGGCTATCTGTCAGGGGTGATTTGAATGCAATATTCCTGCTTCTTGACAGAATGGGGTTGGACTGGATGGCCCATGAGGTCTCTTCCAACTCTTTGATTCTATGATTTTTTGGGACTGGGGGGTGGCTTAGATACAACACAATGTGCCTGGAACAACGCAAAAAATAAACATACAATGCAATGAAAGAGAAAACCAGAAGCATATAAAACAATTACTTATACTTAAAAACAGCCCCCAATAAACGAAGGGACCTGGTGAGGTTCCACTAAGTCAGATCGGACAGGACAGAGAACAAAGTCATTTGGGATTGAAGGCCAACCACAGAAGTTCATCACACTTTGGCCAAAATGGAGGCAAGTACCAAGTTACCACTCGATGATGCACAAGCGCACCTTTGCAGAGAAAACCATGACTTTCAGTACAATTTCACAGCCATTCAGACCTCCCACGCCTCCCTCCTGATTGGCTGTGAAATGAGACAGCTGGGATTCATGCCATGATTGGTGGGGATCCCGTTGGCATCACAATGGGAAGGAGAGGTTCCCCATGGCAGGAAGAACGGCCGATTCTTGGAGGGTTTGAAGGTCCATTCCGTTGCGAGGACACCCTGCGGAGGGGGCAAAACAGAGGAGGGAGATGGCGTGGGTGTGCAGGTGATTCCCTGATTGACTTAATGTCTCATTCCGAAGAAGGCAACAGTGCCAGGCATGGAAGAGAAAAGGAGATCATGCCACAGAGCCAGAGGGTCAGGTACCCACTCAAAAGGCTCATTTATTCATCTTTGCTTAGCCTTTGCATCTGTGGGAATCCTAGACCTCTGGACACATCTGGCCAGGTAAAGAGTGCAAAACAGCCCAACTGATGAAGGGATTGTCTATCTGTCACTCACACACAAAAGGGATTCCATGTCTAGGCTGGGAGATCGCTAGAGGGATGTTTGCTGAGGGTAGAGGACTCTCTGTTCCCAGGGATGTATGTACATAGAAGGGAAGGGGACCAGGGGCCTTCACCATACATTTGAGACACTCTGAATACAGCAGGTCCCAAAATATAATTCAATACATTTATGGAAGGTTTGGGGTTCCCTTGCCAGGCCCACCCGAGGCTTTCAGGGGCTTCCAAATGGTGGGACTCTGGGCCCTGGGTCTCTCCCCGCATCCCCTTCCTCGCCTCCTGAGCACTCAGAGCCTGGCCAGGCCACGAGAGAAGGTCTCCTGGAAAGGGAGAGGCCTCTTCTCATCCAGAGGAAACCCAAGTCCTGGCCACGGAGTCTCTGGGTTTGGCATTCACTGAGTTTTCACATTAATAGCCATTGATATTCTGTGTTTTGTTGTTGAAGGCTTTCATGGCTGGAATCACTGGGTTGCTGTGAGTCTTCCGGGCTGCGTGGCCATGTTCCAGAAGCATTCCCGCCCACACCTGTCTATGGAAGGCATCCTCGGAGGGGTGAGGCCTGTGGGAAAGCAGGCAAGTGGGGTTAATATAACTGTGGGAAGCCAGGCAGGAAGCAGGCAGGCTTTGGACCTGCAAGGTCATTCAGTGGTAATCAAGGAGATCAATGGAAACATCCACACTTACTTCCAACAGACAGTTCTTCCTCTCTCCCACCCTGGGCATCCCTCCACAGGGATGCATGTAGACCCCACACGATTCCCCGATAGCCTCCCTCCCTCCCAACCTCTGAGGATGCCTTCAGCCAGAGAGAGATGGAGGGGAAGTGTCAGGAGAGAGTGCTTCTGGAACCTGGCCAGGCAGCCCGGAAAACCATTCACAGCAACAACCCAGGGATGCATGTTGTGTCTAGGAGAGTTTCTGAACCATTGGCCCTCCCCCCCCCAGAGAGAGAGAGAGAGAGAGAGAGAGAGAGAGAGAGAGGAGCCTCCCTCCCTGAGGTCTCAACCCCCCCTGTCCGGGACCTGGCCTCTCCGGCGCCCCCAGCATGGCCAGCCCTCCCTCCCTCCGCAGGGACCCCTCCCTCCCAACCTCCTTCCTCGGGAGGAGCTGCAGCCTAGCTCTGCCTCCCAGCCTCCTTCCTGCAGCGCGGCTCCTTTAAGGCCAAGCCCCGCCCCTCTTTGGGCACACGCCTCCTCCTCCCGCCATGACAGCGCCGGGCGGAAGTAGGCCTCCGGGGTGACGTCACGGCCTGGCCGTTGTTGACAGAGGGAAGGGGGGAGGGAGGCCTTTGCGGGCGGAAGTGGGAGCGGCGCTGCTTCCGGTTGGGCCTATCCGAGGGAGAGGCAGCCAGGCAGCCCCGTTTCCTAGGTGGAGTGGAAGGTAGGCCGACTCGCGAGTGTGAGATTCCCTCCGGAGGAGGAGGAGGAGGCCCAAGGAGGCCTGTGCTGGGGAATCAGGCTCAGCCTGGGAATCAGCCTTGGAAGGAAGGGAGGGAGGGAGGGAGGGAGGAAGGAAGGAAGGAAGGAGGAGCCTCCCCTTGGCGGCCTGCCTGGGGTTCTCCTGCCTGGGTCAGCCTGGGTCCTGGCCTGGCAGAGGCCTAGCTGTGGGCGGAGGAGGAGGAGAAGCCCCCCCCCGCAGCCCCCCTCCCTCCCCAAACCCCCCCACCTGGGCGCAAAGGGGGTCCCGAGGGAGGGAGCGGGGGATGGGGGGGTCCCCGTGGGCTCTGGAAGAGGGAGCCGGTCGGGCATAATCCCTCGCCCACAAACACACCTCGAGGCAGGCAGAGAGAGAGAGAGATGGACAGGCAGGCAGACAGAGGTGCGTGCCGAGGGAACTCAGGGCTGGCCGCACTCTCTTTGGGAAGAGGGCTCCTTTCCTTCCTTCCTTCCTTCCTTCCTTCCTCCCTCCCTCCCTCCCTCCCTTCCTTCCTTCCTTCCTTCCTCCCTCCCTCCCTCCCTCCCTCCCTCCTTCCTTCCTTCCTTCCTTCCAGAGTGGGCTTGAGGGAAGGCAGAAGGGCCCTGCGAGGGAGGGTTGGGCTTTGAGTGTCATTGCCCCCCTTCTCCCTCCCTTGTCTCCCCCCCTTTCTTCCCTTCTCCCTTCCCTTTCTTTTTTCCCTCATTCCTCCTTTCCTTCCTCCTTTTCCTCTCCCTCTTCCTTCCTTCTCTCCTCCTTCCTTCTTCTTTCTCCTTCTCTCCTTCCTTTCTTCCTCTCTCCCCTCCCTCCCTCTCTTCCTTCTCTCCTCCTTCCTTACTTCATTCCCCCTCCATCCCTTCCTTCCTCTCTCCCTTCCGCTCTTCCTTCCTTCCCCTTCCTTCCTCCCTTTATTCCTTCTCTCACCCCTTCCTTACTTCATTCCACGCTTCATCCCTCCCTCCCTTCCTTCCTTCTCTCACCCCTTCCTTACTTCATTCCCCCCTTCCTCTCTTCCTTCCTTCTCCCCTCCCTTTCTTCCCTTCTCCCCCTCCCTCCCTATCTTCCTTCAGCCCTTCCTTCTCCTCTTCCTTCCTTGCCCCCTTACTTCATTCCACGCTTCATCCCTTCCTTCCTCTCTTGCTTCCACTCTTCCTTCCTTGCCTCCTTCCTTGCTCCCTTCCTTCCTTCTCTCACCCCTTCCTTACTTCATTCCCTCCTTCCTCCCTCCATCCCTTCCTCCCTCTCTTCCTTCCGCTCTTCCTTCCTTGCTCCCTTCCTTCCTTCTCTCACTCCTTCCTTACTTCATTCCCCCTTCCTCTCTTCCTTCCTTCCCCCTCCCTTTCTTCCCTTCTCCCCCTCCCGCCCTCTCTTCCTTCATCCCTTCCTTCTCCTCTTCCTTCCTTGCCCCCTTACTTCATTCCACGCTTCATCCCTTCCTCTCTTCCTTCCGCTCTTCCTTCCTTGCCTCCTTCCTTGCTCCCTTCCTTCCTTCTCTCACTCCTTCCTTACTTCATTCCCCCTTCCTCTCTTCCTTCCCCCCTTCCTTCCTTCCTTCCTTCCTTCCTCCCTTTCTTCCCTTCTCCCCCTCCCTCCCTTGCTTCCTTATCTCCATCCTTCCTTACTTCATTCCTCCCTCCATCCCTTCCTCCCTCTCTTCCTTCCTTGCTCCCTTCCTTGCTCCCTTCCTTCTCTCACCCCTTCCTTACTTCATTACCCCCTTCCTCTCTTCCTTCCTCCCTTTCTTCCCTTCTCCCCTTCCCTCCCTCTCTTCCTTCTCTCCATCCCTCCTTACTTCATTCCTCCCTCCATCCCTTCCTCCCTCTCTTCCTTCCTTGCTCCCTTCCTTCCTTCTCTCACCCCTTCCTTACTTCATCCCCCCTTCCTCTCTTCCTTCCTTCTCCCCTCCCTTTCTTCCCTTCTCCCCCTCCCTCCCTCCCTCTCTTCCTTCATCCCTTCCTTCTCCTCTTCCTTCCTTGCCCCCTTACTTCATTCCACGCTTCATCCCTTCCTTCCTCTCTTGCTTCCGCTCTTCCTTCCTTGCCTCCTTCCTTGCTCCCTTCCTTCCTTCTCTCACCCCTTCCTTACTTCATTCCCCCTTCCTCTCTTCCTTCCTTCCTCCCTTTCTTCCCTTCTCCCCCTCCCTCCCTCTCTTCCTTCTCTCCATCCTTCCTTACTTCATTCCTCCCTCCCTCCATCCCTTCCTCCCTCTCTTCCTCCTGCTCTTCCTTCCTTGCTCCCTACCTTCATCCCTTTCTTCCCTTCTCTCCCTCCCTCTCTTTTTTCCCTTGAGAAAGAAGACCCAAAGTGACCAGAATCATGCTTTCCCATAGCAGATCTGCCACTCTCCGAATACACCACCTCTCTCCTTCCCATGGAGCAGAGCATGGCGGGTGAACAGTGTCTCTGTCTGTCACACTTTGAGCATTATTAGGCTGAGTCTTTTATAGGCATATTCTGTTGATGTCGTCCCAAAGTTGTAAATTAATGATAGACGTCTTCCATCCTGGCTTCCATCTCAGTGTTGATCTTCTTGATTGGTGTTGACAAACACAAGGCTTGTGTTGACTTCCTTCTTAACATAAGGAAGGTTGCAAACATTTCCTTTATCCCTCTCCCAGATCTTATCAGGGTTTCTCCTTAGCAAGTCCAGCAAGCAGGTAGTTAGTGATTGCAGGCCTTCATATTATACTGATGTCTCCAAAATCATTAACTCCATTCATACATCCTTCCATTCAGCCCCACCCATCATATTAAATTCACATTTATCAAATTTGCACATTCAATTTCTTATCACACTTTGACATCCAAAGGCAGTCAGCCTTGTTTGCGCTTCGCTCTGGGAACCATCCCTTTCCTTGAGTTCCTGAAATTTGTCCCCCATTTTGAGCCCCTTGAAGAGGGAAGAGAAGAGAGATCCAGGTTCAACCGATTCATTTTTAAGATTTCTGTATTTAATTCAGTTTAGTATCTAGACCTTGTGGATTTGGCTTGCTAGGCTCTGAATGCCACACGCACTTGAGTCTTCCCTTCATTTGCTTCATTGAACCAAGGAGCAGGTTTGGCTCGGCTACTTGAGAGGGGACGCTCCAGAGCCATCGTGTCTTTTGCCCTAAGTAGTTAATGATTTTGGTGTCTTCAAAATTATTAACTCTCATTCTTTCATTCAATTTCATTCAAACCATATATCATATCAAATCTGCACGTTATATTTCTTGTGACAAGCAGATGGTGAATCCTGGGTGGCATATGTTGTTCTGTGTCAGAAAGTAGAGCTGATGTGTTCTCTCCAGTGCAGTTTTCTGAATCAGCACCCCAAATAACCAAACCAAATCTAATGTTGACCAAAAACTGATTCTTAACCCTTTGGGTCCTAATGTTGGAGAGGGGTCCCTGGCCAAAGTGGCCCCTGGTCCCAAAAAAGGTTGGGAGCCACTGCACTAGACAGACGGCACAAGGGATTGCAAATGGAAGCCTAGGCAAGCCATGGGAAATTCAAACAGGGACCCCGCAGGGATGCCCGCTCTCGCCTCTTCTATTTATATGAGTTCTTACAATATTGTTTAGGGGAAGAGGAAATGATTTCTGGAAAAAGGATTGAACAGGAAAATATAATTTTAATATGAGAAAAGAGTAAATATAGAGAGGTCTAGAAGGTGAAGCTTTCTTTGTGACGAGATTGGAAGAGACCGGAGGTCACCTATCTTCCCCCCTACTTTTCTTTTTCCCTTGCTCACTTTTTAAGAAAAGGATGTATAAAAAATGAGGGTGCAGCTAGAAGCAATGTTACATGGAAATGAAGTCTGTATAAGTATGAGCACCAATGGAAACCAAGAGGGCCTTCTCTTCTGCGGTCTCCCCATGATGGGATGCCCTCCTCTCCAAAGCCCTCCTGGTGCAGAGGTTGGTGCAATCCCAGTCTCCAGGTCTGCATTCTCAGGCCTTCCTTTTAAAATCAATTATAACTCATAAAATGAAAAATAGTAAAACCTAAACAATTGTGTTTCAGGAACACAAGCTCATGTTTTTAAGAAATACATTTTTCAAAGAAGACACACAACACTGAGGAGCTGGAGGTAATACGTGAAGCCTGGGGTGGCTGAAACACATCCACCGCTCCCCATTCATGAGCAAAGGAAGGGCGGGAAGGATGTCAGTGCCTTCAGGAGGCAGGAAGAGGAGGGCAGAGGGGCCTGCAAAGACAGGAGGGGAGGGTGGACTCAAAAGGAGAAGGCCCAAAAAGCCACGCGGAGGAAGAATCCCTGCAGCCTCAGAAAAGTTAGCGTCAGGCCTTCCAAGGAGGAGAAGAGCGTGCTTCCCCTTTAATATCCTGTGTCAGTTTCCTGCAGGATTCTAGAACTTGTAGTTGAGAGAGGCCCAGGACCCCCCCCTGGCTGAGAATGATAAAGGCCCCTCCCTGAACACCTTGCAGTGTAAGAAATCGCACACGGAGAATCTTTGGGCCCCGTCCCCTTTGTACCTGAGGAGGGAGGGATTTTTCATTGTTGGGCAAGTGTTAAAGTATTTCTCACCAGGCAATGGGCAGCTTCCCTCTTCCTCTTGGTTTGCTACAGCACTAGACTTCCTCTTCGTGTTCCATGAGATCTTTCCCTGTTCAACTCCTGAAGAGATTTTCCTCTCATTTCTCTGGCAGGTAACTTCGGAACAAGTTCTGCGAAGAACGCCTTGTGAGAGCTTGGCCTGAGGAGTGCTGTAAGTTCAAAGTGACTTCACAGCAATCACAACAAGAAAAAATAAGTACTAGAAAAATATATTTGAAGCGACATTCCTGTGCTGTTAAGGCGGGAAATAAGATTGTGCTGTAGAAAGAGAAGCTTGGGAAACCAAGCAGAAGGCTACAGCAATACAAAAACTGCTGTTCAGGAGGTTATACCTGTGAATGCCTGGCATCATATTTGAATTATAAATGTAAAAGAATGGCAAGCCCTCTACCTCCCTATCCTAGATCAGACACAGGGGAGAAGTTACATCAGTGTATGGAATGTGGAAAACAATTTGAAAAGAAACGTGATCTTACTGTACATGAACGGACCCACACAGGGGAGAAGCCATATCAATGCATGGAATGTGGAAAATGCTTCAGTCAGAGTGGCAATCTACGTTACCATCAAAGGATCCACACAGAGGAGAAGCCATATAAATGTATGGAATGTGGAGAAAGCTTCAGTCAGAGTAACACTCGCTCTCATCAAAGGACCCACACAGGGGAGAAGCCATATAAATGCATGGAATGTGGAGAAAGCTTCAGTCACAGTGGCATCTACGTTCCCATCAAAGGAAGCACACAGGGGAGAAGCCATATAAATGTATGGAATGTGGAGAAAGCTTCAGTCAGAGTGGCACTCTACGGTCCCATCAAAGGATCCACACAGGGGAGAAGCCACATAAATGTATGGAATGTGGAAAGAGCTTCAGTCAGGCCATCTACGGTCCCATCAAAGGATCCACACAGGGGAGAAGCCATATAAATGTATGGAATGTGGAAAGTGCTTCAGTTGCAGTGGCACTCTACGGTCCCATCAAAGGATCCACACAGGGGAGAAGCCATATAAATGTATGGAATGTGGAAAGAGCTTCAGTCAGAGTGGCAATCTACGTTCCCATCAAAGGACCCACACAGGGGAGAAGCCATATAAATGTATGGAATGTGGAAAGAGCTTCAGTGAGAGTGGCACTCTACGGTCCCATCAAAGGATCCACACAGGGGAGAAGCCATATAAATGTATGGAATGTGGAAAGAGCTTCAGTGAGAGTGGCAATCTACGGTCCCATCAACGGATCCACACAGGGGCGAAGGCATATAAATGTATGGAATGTGGAAAGAGCTTCAGTCAGAGTGGCCATCTACGGTCCCATCAAAGGATCCACACAGGGGAGAAGCCATATAAATGTATGGAATGTGGAAAGACCTTCAGGCACAATGGCAATCTACATTCCCACCAAATGACTCACACAGTACAGAAGCCATAGAAGTGCATAGAATGTGGAGAAAGTTTCAGGCAGAGTAACTATCTCGATTCCTTCCAAATCTATCTACATTMCTTTCAAAGGAGCCACATAYTAGAGAAGCCARATAAATGCACGGAAWGTGGGAAGAGCTTTAGAGGATGTTCAGCATACAATAAACATCACGGAACTCATGCGCCGCTAGAGGAGACCTGCCTTTCAGTTTCTGAGCTCTCTTTCAAAAAAAAAAATGGGAATGAAAGAGGAAGCCTGGCACCTGGCTCTCTCTCTCTCTCTCTCTCTCTCTCTCTCTCTCTCTCTCTCCCATGGACTAGTTTGTGTGGCCTTGGTCGAAGGCTACTGGGAGCAGGTCTCACTTAGAAGGGGATTTTTCTCCGTATTGCAGCAAGCTCCGAAGGGGTTCCCCTCGCCTCCTCCATAAGAATCCCATCACAGGCTTCTAGGGTGATCTGTGGAGGTTTGCTGAAATGAGCAGCCGCTGAGATCTCTGGAGAAAAGGGTTCTGAACAAGAAGAGCTCTTTGGTAGCAGAGACGGTCATATTTTCATACCCTTGTCTCCCGTCTTGGCTCTGTTGCCCCTCGGTTAGAATTTTGGCCTCTAGCCATGTACCTCTCACCCTTTTCTGGACTTTGTTGTATCCTGAATAGTTCTGGACTGACTTCTGGTTTCATTTATGAACCAGGACGTTGTTTGTATGCCTGACTTTCTGGCTTGACTTTGGGACTCTAAATTCGGTTTGTACTCTTGTTATTTTATCAGCTCTGTTGAATGAACTCCTGGCATGTGACTCAATTCAAAGAAAAAGGGCACCCCACAAGTATCATCAATACTGCTATTAGAAAAGTTAAGTTCACAGACAGAAATGATTTACTAAGCGATATGGCGGGGAAATCTAATGACTGTATTATATGGCCACTTAGGTTAACCACATATTTTCCACACATCAGGAAAATAATTAGAAAGCACCGGCACTTGGTCAGTGACACTCCAGAATGCAAGAATGTACCAATGATAGCCAACAAATGAACCCAGAATCTTAGGGACATGATGATCAGATCTGACTTCACAACCCCCTATACTATCAGCAAATCTAATCTTAGGGGCCACACGAGTTGCGGGCATTGTGCATATTGCATTCAATCTCTTAAAGTAAAACAGTTCTCACACCCCACAATGCAACTCAACATACAACTTTGTAGTTTCACCAACTGCAATACAGAGAAAGTGATGTATGTCATACAATGTCCATGTTCACTGCTATATGTAGGCATGACCTCCAGACCTTTAAAAATTAGAATCCTTGAACATAATCCTCCATTAGAAATAAAGCCATTGGGACTACTCTTTATTCCCATTTCACTGAAAAATCACACACACACTAGCTTCAGATTTTGTGGTTTTTAAAAACGGTAACCGCACAACCCCATCAAGACTTTAAAAGAATTTTACTTCAGAGAGAGGCCTTTTGGATATTCATGTTATATACCATTTCCCGAGGTGGGTTAAACGATTAGATCTCTCTTGTTTTCTGTAATTGACCTGTATCTCTCTAAGGGGAGACTTCTCCGTGGATTTTTGCTCGCACTTGAAAATGTTTATTATGGATGTTTTTCTTGATTGAATAACTGATGTTTCTATAGATTTTGCCCATGGTACTGATACAATAATACTCTTACCGTATATGATATCAGTGTTATAATTGGTTTACTTATTGAACAACTTAACACTTAAACATTGATACATAGATATCTGTTTGATTTCTATTTTATACTGTTTAATCCCCACCTTTGGCAAAGGGTCCATTAGGATGCACAGCACATCTCCCAAACCGCAGAGAATGGAAGACAAAAGAGTGATGACAACGGCTTATGAAGATTCATGAATTAGTCGAGATGGACAACATTGATGAAGTATAGAACAGCATTTAAAGGAACAGAGATAAATGTCATATAGTGACTGAGAGGTTTATAGACTAGTGTTTGTTGTCTGTTAGTTTCGCTCTTATTGTGCAAGGTGTGTGCTACATCAGTTTAGAAAAGCCAGTGTGATTCTAGGCTGTCCCAATGGGAGCGTGAGGTCTAGATCCGGGTACGTACTCTCTTCTATGCTATGCTATGACCCTGCTATGACCCTCCTTAGCAGTAGGTGGAAAGGAGTAGTAGAGTTGAACGTCATCTGCGTACAGGGGACATCATACTCCGAAACTCCGGATGAGCTCTCCCAACAGCTTCATGTAAATGGTAAATAATTTATTTTATAACTAGCCATCCCCTGCTACGTGTTGCTGTGGCCCACATGGGGGTTCTGTGTGGGAGGTTTGGCCCAATTCTATCATTGGTTGGGTTCAGAATGCTCTTTGATTGTAGGTGAACTATAAATCCCAGCAACTACAACTCCCAAATGACAAAATCAATTCTTTTGAGTGAAGGACATACATTGGGTTGTTAGGTGTCTTGTGTCCAAATTTGGTGTCAATTCTCCCAGTGGTTTTTGAGTTCTGTTAATCCCACAAACGAACATGACATTTTTATTTATATAGATAAACCCTTTATATAACAATAAAACCAATCAAACCTCCTTGCAATTTGGAAATTGGGTTAATATATCCTCGATCCTTGTCTCCAGGGATGAAGACCCAAACATATATTCTAGATGCCATGAAGAAGAACGCCTTTGCCTTCAGGTCTCGGGAGACTTAGTTCTCGGGGACCACAACTCCCGATCCATCAGAGGAAATGAACCACATAAATACATTCCTTTTCCTTATATTGTTATATAGATATAGATAGCTAAATAAACATGGATGGTTGCCTCTTGGGATGAAGAGGGAGGGAGGGAAGGGGAGAGAGAAGGACCCTCCCCATTTTGGAAAACGGCATTCCTAACCTTTTGGAAAAACACCTTTTGGGGATMAACTTTTTAGAAAAGCTGACTTTTCAGAGAAGAGCCAAACACCCTTTAGAGTAGAATCTTCTCTTGTGGTATACAACCAGATCTAATTATGCAAGGCAATGGTTTCAGTTGTTAGACTGAATAACCTGTTATCTCTGATTTGTTAGGAAAACAGAGATTTGCCAGTGCATAAGAACAGCGGAGCTTCAGAAGTGTTCCTCAGTGCCCAAAAACATATAGACTCCCCCATAAAACAAACTGTTTTATATCATGCTCTCAAGAGACAAAATGAAGTAGACTTTGATAATAAAAAAAAAAGATAACATATTTGGTTTACTCACGGCCTTCATGTGTTCAGCATACACAGGTACAAAACGTATCAGTCCAGTTTCAGAAATGTTTGAGAGAATTCTCTGTGCCATCCGGCCAGGRCATCTCTCTTGTAACAAAACAGCTATCACCAGGTCACATAGTCCAAAGGAGAGAGAGAGAGCATGTGGTCTGCAGCTCATTTTATAACTTCTCAGGAAGCATAGAGTAAAGGAAGCTGCATACCAGAACATACATACAGGAAACAGCAACAGGATCATAGATAAACATTACTAGAGAAGGCTTGAAGAGCCTCCCATCTTGTGACCTCCCTTTTGGCCTTGATGATGGAAAGAGGGGTCTCACTTCTATCAGTCATCTCCCCCTCCCCTCTTTCATTCTTATTTCGATCTTAACAGGGAATTGACATGATACATCCTCCCGCCCCTCTCTGCCATTCTCCCTTCCGCCTGCCTTTCCTTCCAGGCCACAGATCTCTCCTCTCTCTGGGCTCTCACGGGCGAACATGAGCCAAGCG